GGCCGTGCCGGGCGGGGTCCGCGGCGCCTGCGGGCCGCGAGCTCGGGTGCTGCAGTCTTTGGCGCATGGCTGTCAGGGCCTGGGCGGGGGTGAGGGTGGGGGTGGGGCGCAGGTTCAGAATAAGCCAACAAGGGAATGGAGGCTTGATTGCCTTCCTCTGGACGAATCCTAAGACTTAAGAAGCCACACAGTTTTAAAGATGAAGACCATTAAATGCAGAAACTTCTGGTTCGGATAGTTCAGCTGATCAGTTTCATGTTGTCTCAGTTTGTCAGTGAGTTTTGCCTTTTTCTCTTCTCAGTTCCTTTAAAGGCAGTACAGAACGCACTAAATTGATAAGGTGAAGGAGCAAGGTTTAGAAAACAAGAGTAGTTGTATTTGGTTTACTGTAATGACTTGTTCTTTAAACTAAAGAAACCGAACGTTGGAAGCAGGTAGTATTTCAGTCATTCAAAGAGTAAGTACCTAAGCACTGAACACCTAAGTTGTTAAAAGGGCGGAATAGGCCCCATTTTTAGACCTAAACCAACCAACTTAATGGAACAGCTCTAGGGGCTTTTTAGAAAGGGAGATTTAAAGACACATTTCAAATTTAATAGCTGAATTGAAGACGTGAGGACAGAAACGGGGAAGGAAGAAATTGACACTGAAGGATGTCAGGAAGTAGGAAAAAATTTTAAAGTGAAGTATAATTGACATACAATGTTATTTTAGTTTCAAGTGTACAACATAGTGATTTTACATTTATATGCATTGTCAACCTCAGAGATAAAATAGCCAGTTATTTTGCCAGTAACATGGATTTATTTGGAAAAAGCAGAGAATTGCAATTTGGGACAGGCAAGCTATGGGAAAATTATAGGCAAATCAACAGAACAAAGGAGAGGGGTTTATTTTTATTAGGTTTTGGGAGAAATTGGGGAGGATTGTTTGAAAAGTTCCTTGAAGAATGAGAGTTCAAGATCGTGGCTATTTCTCATTGGCTGCAAGTGGTGGTTAGAACAAGCTGGGGCAGAGAGGGATCTTCTTTCATTTTTATAAAAGCAGTAGATAGAATTCCTATGTGAAAATGTTCTCCCTTGTACCAGAAGAAAAGTAACATTCTTAAAAAAAAGAAAAAAAAAAGAAAAGAAAAGTTCTTATCTTCCTTCTTCCTGCTGGTTATGCAGGCTCCACCTAGTACTATATGTTTTGAGAGTTCTGCCTTCAGGACTTCCCAACTCCATTT